GGTCGGGAGGGCTGGGGAGGCCAGGGCCGGGCTGGATGGTGACTTGTAGTTAGAGAACGTGGGCTAGGTATCTGCTGTCTGGTTTGACTTCTACTTTTTTGGCAAGTGACTTGTGTCCGCGCTCCGGCCAGGAAACCAGTTGTACTCGGTCTGTGTCGCCACCAAACTAGCGGTCTTCAACCAATCTGTTTCTCTCTTTTTTTCCTTTCCTTTTCTTTTCTTTTGTTTTGCGTGCGTGTATGTGTGTGTGCGACCTTCATCTGATGTTTAATAATAAAAGGGATGAACGTTACTGCCTGTATCTCTACTGCCTTTCTCTGAGGTTGTAATGGGTCACCACACCTGCTGGGTGGCCTGGCGTCAGCAGGTCCCTGCCCATATTGGGACACTGCCCCATCCATGCTGGCTAGAGCAGTGTTAGTGTCCACATCTTGCTCTGTCCTACAGACAGCCTGGACCGCAGTGAGTGTGCTGCAGTGTGGGATGGGGTGGTCTGGAATCATAACTTGAGATTCTAGGGTGCTGGCAGCAGGGTTGCTGCTTCCTGCAGTTTGCTGAGCCCCAGGCAGACTTTGTCCAAGGATCAGAGGAGATGGGGAGGAGAGGGATCTCCAGGACCAGTTGGATGGTCTCAAAGAGGCTCTGGGAGCGGGAGGAGAATTACAGCAGTGCTAGGGCCATTGTGTTTCTGCTGCCATCCCAGCCAGTGTGGCAGGGGGCCGGTGGGGGGAGGGTCTGGCAGGGTCCCCCCCAGCCAGTGTGGCAGGGTGCTGGTGGTGGTAGTGTCTGGCAGGCTCCTGCCATGTGGCTGGCTGTCCCGTGGGTGAGGACTGATGCATCTCCCACCCACTGAAGGATGCCCTGAGTTGATGTCATGTTGCCTGTTCCCATGTAAGCAGGACAGTGGCACTGCTCTCACCGACCCTGGGGCAGCAGTGGGCTGTGACCCTGCCAGCCTCAGTCAACCCCTCTCCCCTATCCTGGCAGCATATCCATGGTGTCAGGAAATGCTTACTGTGCTTTGGGCTCACACCCTCTCTTGACACTCTTCATACAACACTCTGCAGCCCGGCAGGGAGAGGCATCCCCCCCTACTTAGCTGTCATCCCCATCTCCCCAATCTGACCTCTGCAGGACAGGGCTCAAGGGCTCCCCCTGACCTCACATGCCCCACTCCCAGGCTGCCATCACTGCCCCTCTCCTCCAGGGCTGTCCAATTCCCCGTCTCCCCCGCTAGAGCCACACGGCTGCTGTGGAGAAGGTGCTGGTTTAATGCTGCAGCCCAGCCTGGAGCCAGCCCTGTGACAACACGCTACTTGAGGTGACCATGCCCAAACCAGAGTCCTGTCCCCAAGCCTCCAGGCTCAGCTGTGCTTGTTGATGTGGCGGGAATGAGCATGTACAGCCTCCACAAAGGCACCGACATGCTCAGGGCTCAGGTCGGGGTAAAGGCCATGGCCCAGGTTGGCGATGTAGCGTTGTGTCCCGAAACCCTCCAGCATCTTCTTCACCAGCTCACCAATCTTCTCCTGTAGGCACAGTGAGAAATCATGTATCAACCCCACCAGTCCCCAGCCAGCCTGGGGGGACTGCTGGGACACGAGCCAGCAATGCAGGTGGGAAACTGAGGCAGGAGGCCTTTAACACAGGCTAGAACTAGCCCCAGTTGCTGGCAATGGCCACAGCTCACCTTGGGTGCATAGAGAGCACAGGGATCCAGGTTCCCTTGCAAGGTGACATCTTTCCCTGTCTGTGCACTGCAGCAAAGAGGAAACAGTGAGTTGTGTGTGGTGCAAAGGCTAGGGGCAGCCAGGTGCCTGCAGCCCCCACCTAAGGGTACACAGGAGCCTTCAGTGTTCCACATAGCATGGGGGCCTAACTATCCCCACTGCTGGAGCAACAATCTCCAGGCCTGGGATGGCTCAGGTCAGAGGAAGAGGTGAGGGTACCCGGCCTGAGGTACTGCCCAGGCACCTGAGCACTTTGCCACACTCTTACCGAGCTTCCTGGGGCCGGATGGTCCAGTCGAGACCAACCACCTCATAACCAGCATGGGCCAGGTCACGCAGTGCATAGTGTGCGTCCTTTGCAAAGATGATCTGGGGAGGGAGGAGATGGGCAGTAACTCTGCTATGGGTCAGACTGGGGGAGGCAGGTACCAGGGAACATGCCCTTCTCCAGCAGCCCCCACATGCCAGAATCAATCCAGGCATCCCTGACTCACCATGGGCACGAGGGGCAGCGCCTCCTCCTTCAGCTTGCTCTTGACACCCTGAGCAATGTCTCGGATGTAAGGCAGGGCAAAGTCCTGGAACTGCTCCGGGCCCAGGTGCCCCGCATGGGATTCAAATAACTGGAGCGCCTGCCGGGAAAATGGGGCTGGGAGAGCTGCACCTTAGCCCCTGCTCCTCCTCGCAGAAGCTCGACCCTCTCTGCTCCCTCTCCCCAGTCCCTGCCTTCCTGCCTGGCCCCGTCCCCATGCCCCAGGACTCACCTGCGCTCCAGCAGCCACCTGCCCCACCAGGTAGTCAGTGACAACATCGGCCAGCAGCCGCAGCAGTCGGTGGCTTGCCTCGGGGTGCCGGTAGAGCCAGCTCTTGGCCTTGGCCATTGTAGTGGAGCCACCACCTTCAATCATGTAGGACATGAGTGTCCACTGTGTGAAAGAGAGGAGTAAAGTGAGGATGGTGATGGAAGAAGACAGGAGGGGCTGGTCACAGTGCTGAAGGTAGGACCTGTGAGCACCCCAGAGCCCGGGGCACAGCTGCTCCTGCATTGACTGTCCCCCATGTACACACCCCTATAGGACCCACAGCTCTGGGGGTGTCATGGCTGGTGTCACCGCAGAAGAAAGAGCAGAGAAGCCCAGCTAGGAAACCCACATGGAGGAGCCACATCACTTAGAGAGAAGCCGATGAGGGGTACCCTGCCCTCTAGGCTGTGTCGTGTCAGCGTTATGGCCTGGAAGACATAACCCAGCTCTGCGGTCACATCCACCTTCTGTCGCAGTTTCAGCAGATCCTCCACCTCCTTCAGGGGCTCTGTGAATGTGGGTCCTTTGCCAGGGACCATGACAACCTCCATGCCCAGTGCCTGGGGACAGGAAAGAATGGAAAAAGCAGGATCCTGAACCCAGTCCCATTCCCAACTGCTGCTCCCCACCACTGGCCACAGCTCTCACCTGGGGCACCACCAAGATGTCAGAGAAGATGATGGCAGCATCCAGGGGAAATCGTCTGAGTGGCTGTGGATGGGAAGAAGCAGCAACAATGAGGGGCTGGGACACCCTTCCCTATGGAGGACCTGGACAAGTACATGGGGCAGCAGGGTCTCCAAGGGCTGCACGACTTACTTGGGGCCACCCAGGGTGGCCAGACCCAAGGTTTCTCCCCATCCCCACCTGGGTGGAGAGAGGGGACACACAGCTGGATGCTCACCTGTAGTGTCAGCTCACAGCACAATTTGGGGCTCCGGCAAGTGGCAAAGAAATCCTGTGCTGCCCGGGTCTCCCGAAACTCTGCAAAGGACCAGCACGAGCATTATGGGGCGCGTGCTGGGCTACCCTTGCTGTCCCCCCGCCTCCATACACCTCCACCTGCTCACCAGGCAGGTAGCGCCCAGCCTGCCGCATGCACCACACTGGGGTGTGCTCTGTCTCCTCCCCACGTGCCGCTCGCAGGAATGTGTCGTTCTTCAGCTTAGGGAAACCCTTGGGGCTGTGGATGAAAGAGCAGGTACAGGTTGTCACCCATGAGAGGTCTAGGTGCCCTGCCAGATCCTCACTTCCTGACCACATGAAAGGGCTTGTGCCTGGCAGTGACAAATGTGACAAATGCCCCCCACCATGGTCCAGAGCCTCCTCCTGCTTGGGTCTCGGGGGGGCCTCCCTGGGGAAAGGCAATACTCAGCACAGGGGGCCATGAGATTAAGTTATCGTGGACAGCAGTTGCT